GGTGGGTGGCACCAAGTTTGTGGCACGAGACAAGAGGCAGCGTTGGTGCCACGTGAGGTCATTGTCGTCGAGATATTCGAGACGCAACCGCATGCGACACGAGTGCCCAGTTGAGGGGGACGGTGACATGTATGCATGCCAAAGTCGCATTTATTGGATTGACGGGTTCTATGTTTCATAATATGTATGCCGCCTCATCCCAGCCAGGGACTACACTGCTGTAGCTCGCAGGTCGTGTGACATCTGTAGTCATTTCACAACGCATTGACCCCTTGCAAGCTTAGCGTTAGCATTTTTCAGAGCGAATGAGCCACAAAAATGAATAACGTTAGGAAATCAGCGTAAACCAATAGACTGCACCAGTAGCGCAGTGCAAATGATTCGCCAAAGAAACAACTTCTCTCCGCTTACTTGCGTGGCCTACGATTTCGCAAAACCGTTCGCTACTTGACCCGTTATATGAGTTATTGTATGGTCATGAAGTTTGGTAAATGCGAAAATGTAGGCCAGCTGTCCTACGTCTCTCTTGATTGTTGTATATCTGGCCTACAAAATCTGATGAATGTGAAATTTATCGTGTTCGGCGAAAAATGTACTATTTAAGGAAATTAAAATAGGTGTAATTTGTTTTGACACAAGTAGTATTTACAACTTTCTAGAAATACCACCCGCGCATTTTGCCGCCAAAACTATGGCTCACTTCACCCCTCACAGACTTTTATCAATCCATCACTTTGCAATCTGCATTAACTCCATCATGGCACCCATCAACACCAACAACGTGCTCATCCGCCTGCAAGAACAGTCCGTCCGTGAATGTTCGTTCCTTGAAGCTTCCTTTGTCGACTACGTCGAGGTAGCTCGACTGAACGAAGAACGGGTCGACGACGTCGCCAACCCCATCTTGGAGAAGTTTGTCAACGACCTTGGACCAGAGGGTATCCGTACTCTGACAAACTTTACCGTATCCGAGTTCGAAACACTCTGGTCCATGGTCGCCGTTCTTCAACTAGCCCCAAGGATAGCCTATTCATGGCCTTGACCGTGATGAAGCATTTCAGCACTTGGGACAAACACGCTACTGACTTTGGCTTCAAAGCACCGACATTTGAAAAACTCATCATGCGAGTTGTCATGGTTGGTACATTACTTTGAGCTTGCCTGACCACATCGTAAACCATTGAGCCGCTACTCTCGGAACAGCTGATCGTTTGCCCGACGATGACCTCCTTGACTGCGGCAGGCAGGCGGTTTTCGAACTTCCCGTATGCCCTATACGCTGTTGACGTGAAGTTCCAACCTTCCTTGCGGCCAACTGGACGGTTCGCGGAACAGAAGCACTATTTTAGTGGTAAGCATCACCTGTATGGTTACAAGATCGAGGCGGCGGTCTCACCGGATGGGCGCTGTGTTGCAATGTCCGACGCACATCCTGGGTGCACGATCTTACGATCCTGCATACACGCCGTGATCTGCACACGACCAACTTGACCAAGTCCGCCTGCGAAGCTGCTTTGCCTGACCATGGTGAGCTGTTAGCTAAGTACATGGCGACATGGGCTTGCCTCGTGGACATGGGGTACATTGGTGTTGACCATACGCTGCGTGGAATCCATCCGAAGCGCCGCCCGCAGAATGGGACCTTGGACGCCGCTGACGTAGAGCGCAACCGCCGGTTGTCGTCCGACCGTGTGGTTGTCGAGAACTTCTTCGGCCGCGTGTGCTCCTTGTGGAAGGTATCCTACGCCACGTTCACATGGGGTGAGAAGATCTATCGAGCATTCAACGCACTACATTTGCGTTGACCAACTTTCACCTCTCGTTGATGCCCGCGCGCACTGAAGACGAAGACTACTATGCATTGGTCATGGCACGCTACCAAGGGATGGCGAACGAACGCAAGCGAAAGCGTGCCGAGTCTCAGCCCGCTATCGCATGAATCGCCAGAATCGTATTGCCATGGACAGATCTGTTCGCTACATGATCGTTCGGTGATTTAGTTTGAATTGTTCAGACCTTGTACAGTTTCCAAAAGAGCGAGTAACTAATCAGTATGTCAGTCTTTTCGTATTTTTCTGTGTTAAAAGTAAATTTGTTTGCATAAATTCAGTTATATTGTGTATTTGGTACAGTCCGCGACATTCATTTAAAACATTTCGTTTTTTACGGATAACTTCTCCAAAAACGCTCGGATTAAGCTCAATTAGCACCCAAATATCGGCCTTGATTGGCCCGATCTAATGGTCAGGCTAAAAGGACGAAATTTGACCGAGTAATCGCGGGAAAACTGATGTTGGGGTGCGACAGTCACTTATGAACACAACTTTGAACTCGTCAAAAATGTACAAAGAATTAATTGTTAGACAACATAAAGAACGCTAGTACTTCGTCTTTCCACCTTTGGCAGCAACCACTTGCAAACATCGCTTTGGCTTGGACTTAATCAACTTTTTCAAGTATCGGCGGTCAATAGAGTCCCAGGCAGCAGAAATTGCGCTTTGATGCTCGGAAACGCTTTGATACTGCTTTCCATTGGGGTAGACCTTGCGCGCCAGCCACCCCCAAACGTTTTCGATTGGATTGAGGTCGGGCGAAAGGGCTGGGTGGTTAAAAAGTGTCACCGACTGCTACGCTAGAAAAGCCTTGGTGCTTGCAGCCGTGTGAATGCTTGCGCCATCTTGCATGAAGGTGAACGAGGGGCCATAGTGCTGGTGCCCAAACGGAAAGAGATAGTTGCCGAGTGTGTCTTGGTAGGCATCGGCATTCTAGCGTCCTTCCAAGAATGCCAACTGGATGCAACCGTGGCCGGAAAATCCACCCCACACCATGACACTGGCACCACCAGAGTTCTGCGTAAAGTACGTGTCCTTCTCGCGACGTAGGTCGTGTCAGTAGTATTGGAATCCATCTGGTCCGTCCAAGTTGAATTTTTTCTCATCGGACCAAATGATCCGGCTCCACTTGGGCGGCTTCAGGACATTGCTGGTCGCGTACTCCATTCTGGCTACCTTGTGACGGGGAAGTAGGCACGGGGAATGCTTTCGCTTCACATACTTGAGGTGCTGGCACTTCTGGAGGATGCGTTGATAGGTGCGAACACTCAGATCAACCGAAATCGCCGCCTTGAGCATGCGGGACGAGCATCCTGTCTTGGATGCCTGGTTCAAAAGTCGACGACGAAGTCTATCATTCAAAACCTTAGACACACTACCCTTGCTACGAGTTCCATAGGCCTTTGGATCACGCATGTAGCTATAGATGACCCCGCACGACCGTCCAAGCCTCTCGGTAATCGCCTTGACGGTCAAACCTTCGCCGCGGAGTGGATCGACGAATGCCCTCTCCCGGGCAGACAAGGATGGTCCCTTGGACATGTTGTCGGCTACGATGGTCAAGCAAAGGTTGTTGGAAGTGATTACACGTCGGTTAGATATGTCGGCGTACCTGTGGGTGTCGCTCGAAAGTGAAAGTGACGAGTTCAAAGTTGTGTTCATAAGTGACTGTCGCAACCCAAAATCAGTTTTCTCGCGATTACTCGGTCAAATTTCGTCCTTTTGGCCTGACCATTAGATCGGGTCAATCAAGGTCGATATTTTGGTGCTAATTTGAGCTTAATCCGAGCGTTTTTGGCGAAGTTTTCCGTAAAAAACGAAATGTTTTAAATGAATGTCGGGGACTGTAGCTGCCGCCAAATTGTAAGCTGAGTGAATACTTTTGATGTGGATTGGAACTTTTTCAGTTATATTGTGTAATAGTCACCAACTGGTTTAACTGTAAAGACTTAATCTGTAACGTTACATTTGCTGTGATTTGCCAAAAAAAGAATAATTAAGACCAATCAAAATGTTCCACGGTACCGAACTCATGTCTTCTGGGCATTCAATTTTATTATTTTAGTGGCGGCATGTTCCTCTACATACAAAGTCCCCTATACACACGGTACTACTCTCCGCGAATTTTGCTGTCCAGCACTGTATTGCACAACGCATCAGGCTATATACTGGTTGTACATTGTAGTCGAGAGTGCGCGGACCAAGCACACAATAGCGTCTCTCAGCGTGGTATAACTCGTCCGTAGTCATAGAAACTCCCACAGCAAGTCTACCTCAACGTCGCCTACCGCGAGGCATTCATTCGACTCGAACCTCCTTCCTAGCTTCTCATTTGTTGTAAAGCGTGAAACTCGAATTTCGAAAGGAATACGGATCAATTGAAGATGACGAAGCGGCGTTTATTTCACTTCAAATCAAATTTCGAAAGAAATACGGTTTATACAACTTCGAATCAATTAGGGTACGTCTGGTAACATTTCAAAAAGAATATTCCATTTTCTCGCAAAATGGGATTAACCAAAATGTCATTTTCAAAATGGAGGTAAAAGGTCCATTTTGTAATGTGGCGTTTTGGACCTCTTCAACGAGTAAATCCCACGTGGAATTATTGGATTTGGGTTAAACCTCTGCAAGCAAGACATCGTTCAATTTTGATCAGATTTATGGCGCTTTGGGCCTGAATATTGCAATATTTCCGGTTACCAGACGAACCCTTAAACATGTTGGTGGTGGTGGTGGTGTATCTTAGTTTCTACAAAACTATGTAGGAGAGGCGACGAGTCTTATCCTGGGTGGTGTTGAAGGTCCAGGTCCAGGTAGTCGTAAAATGTGGCTTTTTCGCTCGGGGAGAGGGGGCGTCGGGTTGCGTGGGTACCGAAGTCGCGGCAGTCATCCGGGGCCTGTTTGGAAAGGAAGTCGGCAGCCTGGTTGAATTCGCGCAGTGGAGTGATACAGCAAGGGTTCGTGCCTGAATGTAGAAGTCGCGGAGCCCGGGGTGGCGGACACGATGTAGGCCACGCATGTGGTTCATTAGGAGGTTGCTATCCCCATTGACTTGGACATGAGTGAGGCGCATTGTAGCTGCCAGGGTGAGGGCTCGTACGAGGCCGTCGTATTCTGCGATGTTATTTGTCGTGGCGGTGGAGAGATAATGGGCGTCATACTCGCTGAGGAGTGGTGCGTGGAGGGACATTGCGATCGCTCCTGATCCTCCACATTCGGTGTCCATACGAGCCGCGCCGTCGAACAGGACGAAACCTGGATTGGAGGTGGGTAATGTAGTATGTAGAGGGTGGGGGCGAGGGACGAGGTATTGCTTGTCGGCATTGCTTGACAAGGGCCTCATACACGGACGCACGGAGCGTATGGCGGCGGTGAGCGTGGTACGTAGCTAAGGCTTGAAAGTGGGACATGGCTAGCGCCGGGAGGAGTGCAGGCCGCGAGGGCGGGGCAAGAGGGTCAACGTGGAGTGCGGCGCATCGCTCCGTCCAAGGACGCGGAGTCCAAGGGATCGAAGGAGAAGCCACCCTTGGTGGCAATGTTGTCGAATGACGTACCGGTCCACTGGGGTGCTTGGAGCATCCAGGAAGCGGGTCGGGATTGTTCGGTCGATTGGAGGGGGCCAATGTAGTCAATTCGTCTGGCGGTGGGGTCGCCGTAGCGTATGAGTAGCAGCGTGGACCAGAGTGCCTGCGCTCGAGGGCACAACCAGAAGGCGCTAAAATCGGCCCGGTGGAAAATTTCTTCGCATTCGACTTGCCCAAACGGACTGAATGGAGACCTTTTCCATAAATAGATATTATACAAATAGATAATCGATCGAATGGAAGTCTAGAATATATATATATATACAATATATTTGCCATCTTGTCGGTGTAGACTTTTCTAACGTGCAATAAAGCTAACATGCCGTGCAGTATCCTGTAAGTTCCTTCCTGCTTGGGGACTTTATGTTTTATTTCTCTGTTGTTTCAAACGTTTATGGGGAAACGAACAAAGTAATATTTTTGATTGATCTGTATGTAAACATTAGTTAGTAGTTGCCAGTCAATGGCTTCTTAGAGTTGGTCCACGACGGAGTAGCCTGCGTGCTTGGCAATGCACGTGTACGCGTACGCGACGGGCACGACGGAACTCAAGACGGCGGCAATCCAAATGTACACGGAGGTGGACTTGTCGATATGGACAAGCCCCAATATGACAGTGGCGATGGCAACGGTGTACGTCGTTAAACCGAGGTGGCCGTGCCACTTGAGGCTTCGCTGGCCTTGGAACTGCAGCAACTTGAGCTTTTTGTGCCCAGACCCAATCTGCACCAGTACCAACACGATCACGAGAGTGCCGCACCATGAGTGCCAGCCGTGCGGGACGACGCTCTTGCCGAGGGACACGCGATGGACGAGGATGCCAACGAGACCGACGAGTGTGCACGTTCCCGCGGCGTGGTTCATGACCTTGTGGATGTTGCGCTGGATGCGCTGGTTCGGGGATCGGACGTTGAGGTGGAGCGTATCGAAGGGACGGTACACCAACATGGCCTCCGATGCAAACCCAACATAGGCCAGGGTCATGAAGAACGCGTGCACGAAGAAGAAACTGAAGCCCTTCCGCACAAGGACCCCGACGACGACGACCAGTGCGGCAGTGTAGCACCACAGCGTGAGCGGCGTTGTGTTCTCCCACACTTCTCGCCAAATGCCCTTGGACGTGTACGAGTGGTGGTGCGGCGAGACGGGTACTCCCATGCCATCGTCGTCGCCGCTAGAGATGCCCATCGTGGAGCGGTCGTCTAGGTCTTCCGTCTCGGAATCCTTTTTGTCCTTGGGCAGATGCCCCCGCGCCGTGGGCACTTCGACGTCCATGCGGCAGGCGTCGGAGAAGAAAATCCGGATAATAAGGCTCCCGTGATGCGATCATATCCGGATAACCCACCACCATGGGATTGGGTGGTTTGGTCTGGTTGTTCCATTTTGCCATTGAAATAAATCGCGAAGGCGCAAGATGATCGTGCCGGTGCGCTGCTTCACGTGCGGGAAGGTCCTCGCCAACAAGTGGGAGACGTACCTGAGTCTCCTCCGCGCAGATTACACAGAAGGCGACGCGCTGGATGAGTTGTCCCTCAAGCGATACTGCTGCCGGCGTATGCTCTTGACCCACGTCGACCTCATCGAAAAGCTGTTGCATTACAACACCGGAGGTATGAGAATGCTTCGATCATGTTGTGGTGTACATGATGCAGCATGAATGTCGACTCATCATCGTGTGGTTGTAGCGATCGAACGTGGCGGCGACGATTAGACCACCCCACCGTAACGTGTAGTCGAGTGTTTGCACCCCAACTGGATCCTCGAGACCCGCCATTAAACTTAAATACATCCCCCACGAGCCCTACCATCCACGTGGCGGCACTCGCTTCTTCGCACCAAGGTGTCCCTCCTTCTTTGTCCACGTGCCACCTTCCGCTGCATCCACCATCCCCATGACCCAGTCCCGAGCCTTGCATCTTCACACACAAGCCTTCTCATTACATCCGTCGCACGTATTCATACTTGTACGATATTCCAATGATAACTACACCGAAGGCTATGGCCATCGTTGGTCTGCATACCATACACCATAAAAACCGACAACCCGTCCATGTACTGGCATGTATTATGCGTCCACTACAGGAACATCATCTTCTCGACGTAGTCGTCGCCCTTGCCCACCCGTCGCACCAACCCCAGGTATTGCATCGCCGCGACCCCTCGTAGGAACCGCGCATGCACCGCCTTCTTCTTTGTCTTTTTGGAGTTGCACCGAGCGGTAAAGTCATCGAGCCACTCGGCCACATTGATCCACATACCCGCCGTGTGTCTATAAAAGTCGTGGAGGACATGCATGTCGCGGCCCCATGATGCTCTGTTGGCACCCGACTCGAATGCTTCCGCCATGGCAGTTTCCTTGTGAGAGGACAAGTGCCGCTCCAGCACTGCCACGTCATCAAATGAACACGCGCGGCCGACGGGGGACGCGTCCGGAACCAGCCACGGCAGCATCCGGACACTCAGCAGCGACCACACGTCTCGCCGCACCTCGGGCACCATCTGCGCCGTTTCAGCCGACTCGGCCGTCTCCTGCACGAACGCCAGCACGTCCACCATGTCGTGGATCGCACTCGCCACGTCCGCTAGCGCCGGCGCGTCGCATCCATCCATGTCGAATCTAGAAAAGTACGTAGTAGTAGGTAGTATAAATAGGTAGTAGTACTGTTTGCATCAATGCAAGCAATTAAGTACTAACTATGTACACTGTAGTTCACACAAACGTATGCAGGTAGTAGGTACTTGTTGACCAATTTAGGTACTACTCCTTCAATGCGACCAATTCGGTACTGCTTGACACGAATGTAGGTAGGTAGGTACTGTAGTAGGTACTTGTTCAAGAATGTTGGTAGCAATTAGGTACTACTTTTCACATGAATGTATGTGCGATATGGTGCGTACCTTGCGACACATTGACGCCATTCCAACACCAACGAATGTAACGCCCGTACCCCCACTACATACAACAATATGTCAAACTGGTTGTTACCACTGGATGGATATATTTCCATAGACTTCGACATATATATATTTATAAAGTCAATATATATATATATATTATATATTTGTATCACGGGACGGGAGAAGAGTCATAGCTTGATATTAACGTGTACCATTTTTTCCAATAGATAACGGGTAATATTCTACATGATCCATCCTTCACGTATATATATATGTATATATATTGGTTCGTCGAAACAATAAATATATATATCTGCCAAAACAACTTACAACTACATTCTCCATGCAAACAAGATGTGTGTAAACAACTACTCCGGAGTACTACTAGTAGTAGTTCGTGGTTAGTACTAGTAGTATGTACTTACCATGATGTAGGAAGAACGACTGCATGTGCTGCGCCACAATTGACCCCATCAAGTGGCCGTCCAGCGCCAGCGCCACCGCCGCGACGTCCAAACTGGCCCACTCCGGCTCAAATGTCGTGCACATGTGCCACGTCATGTCGACGCATGTCCACATGCACTGCCACAGCAGCCTCCTCTGGCGCACCCGCTCCACTGCATCCTCCACCACAGACTCCACACATTCGTTCTCAGCATTCAATCCCCCGTTGATCTCGGCCGCGAGTGCCGCCGATTCCGACAGATTTAACGACTGGACGTAGGCTCTGACGGTGGCGGGAAGTCGGGCGGCGTCGGCAGCATCCGGGGGCAGCGGGAACAGCGCGAGGACGCGGTGGAGGTCTAGGCTCGACGCCATCGACGGGTCTGAAGGGTTTGGGGTCGCATGGTGGTACAAGATCAACTTGAGCGCGGCAAGGAACGCTTGGATCGAGTGTGTTTGGGTAAAGGTCGAGTGTAAGTACGTAAACACAGCGCCTGACAGTGTCACAGGAAACGACGCCAGCACCAGCGTCTGGCAAATGTCAGCAAAGCTCTTAAACGAGTCTTCCAGTACGAACGGAACCACCGACACCATCGACGCCACCGCGGGGGACATGCGACGGTACGCCGGCGAAAACTGAGAGCTCAACCCAAGCACCAACCCAATGCGAAGCGGTGGCAGCGAAGACGTCGAGTGGTCGCGCCACATGTGCAAAAAGTCGGCAAACATGCGGTCGTCCATGGATTCGTACTGGTCTACGATCACCAGCACGGATGGCACGCACAGCGGCGGCGGTACTGTACCGATCTAAGGAAATGCAAAGTCAGGTGCATTGCCTGCACATGAATAGAAGCATACTACAAATATCTAGGTTTTCTCTACATCTATATATTTGAAATGTAGCCGTTGTAGCCCTACTACTGCTACTACTATCGTAGCCTCATATATAGATAGCCTTGAATAGCCAAACGTAGCCTACAAAATTGGGCCAGCTAGCTAGCGTGCCCATCCATAGTATTGAGCGTAGATTGACCGTTACCAAGTTGAAGTTTGTGATAGATAGGCACTGAGTGTGCACACCATATTTGGCTACGATACCCAAGTATGTAGCCAAGGTCGGGTACAATCGCGAGAATGAAATGCATTGTGATTTGTACCTCGTCTTCAGCGCCACTTCGTTGGTCGGTGGCATGGGCGGTGGCTATCGTGCGCAGGAGTCGGCGCAGTTGGCTTCGTTTCGTGTCGACGGCTTCGAGCTTGAGCTCATGCTCTACCACACTCAGGTACTGCCGCACAAGCCACTGGTGGAGCTCCAGTAGCTTGCGTTCTGTGGCTGTGTCAGGCCCTACCTGTTCCACCATAGTTTTTTACTTGGAAGCCAGTATATTAGTGAAATGTCATTCAGGTAAAAATAATAATGATAATAAACATATTTTAAATATATATATATATATTTTCTTCATGGTAGCCAGACATGTTATTAATATATATATATGCACAAAGCAACATCCGTGCGACACAACAATGCACTCTACATTACTATTGCCAAGTCGATTCGAAAGAAGGAGCAAAAACAGACAATCGATCGACCAATCAAAACACAGAACACGAATCAAGTAGCCAATCAAATCATCGCTTCGACCAATTCCACATCGAATTCGTGGATGACTGAAAATAGTGTGCAGGGCGACAGGTCTTACACACACAAATTTCAGTATACAAAACATATCGATCCATATATTTGGCAAATCAGCCCAAAAGTCCATATTTTATGGCTGGATCGGCAATATCATATACCAATTTGCGCAGGTACTGGATGCGGTCGGTCGAATCGGCCAGCAGGCGGTCCATGCACGCACACGCCGCGTCAAAATTGGCGCGGCAGTCCGCGATGGACGCTTCCGCGGCGCTTTGCAGCTCCATGTGCAGCATCTCGGCTTGGATGGTCACGTCGTCGGAGTGATGCATCACGGGGGCCACGATGTCGTGAACTTGGCGCAGGATGGCTAAAGAGTGGATGAGAGAGATGGAGAGATTAGGAAGAAGAACCTGCGACGGTGTCCCATTTGATGACAGGGACGTCTGCACCATGTCGCACTCGCGGTGGAAGCCGGTACGATCGCCGCGACGTCAGCTGCTTTTCCTGGCGCTGCATCTCGATCTGGAGCCACTGGCCCTCCAACACCCGGTTCGCAGCTTCGGCAAACACCATGCTCGCCACGTACTCGAGCATCTGTCGTCCGTTCGTAAACTGGCGCTGGACACCCACGACGAACGGAAACCGGTGCTTGAGTCGCCGGGTCAACGGATCCGTCCACAGCCCACTGGAGGCGGCACCGGCGTCGGTGCCTGCGATCACGGCGGCCACGGGAAAGGGCTGGAGAGGCAGTAGGTGTGGGTTCGTGGATGAGCTCGAACGTTCAACGAACGAGTCGAGTACTTGGTCGAAGCATGCGTGGTTCGCTTTCTGCAGCACCGAGTTCACCGCGGCCTGCGTCGTGTCGAACGCGCATTGGAACGCAAAGTTCGTCAAGGAAGGTGACGATGCAGCTGATGTTGCTACGGACGCTTGCTTCCTCTTCTTGGAGGACGATGACCCGGCCGGATGCCATGTCATGCCAGTGCTCAAGTCGACGTGGTCCATCATCGCCACGACGATCTCAAATCGATTGCGATAATGTCACTGACCAATCAGAGCGTGGACATTGTCGAGGATTTCCGGTTAATTTATCCGGAGTATTTTTCAAGAAAATGGCAATCACATCGCGAGTCGGCGCAATCCTCGTGGGTACACCAATCGAACCGGCGGTCATGCCAGATGATGAAAGAATGCACCATGCGTAGGAGTGCTTCTGGTCGTATACGTCGGCCCCGCTGTCTATTTGGCCATAGTTCGGACGGGACTCTTTGTGGCATGCGTTGGCGCCATTGCCGCAATAACCAACCCGTCGGACGCATCCTTTGCCGTCTGGCTTGCCGCAAGCCACAATCAGAATACCGCCGCAAGCGCTGGATCGGCTTTGTCCGTACTGACATGGATGCGCTCCGCCATTGCATCGTGGTCGTTGTTGTCGGAGGAAGATGCCGCGTCGTGGGTTCGGCACAACATGGTCGTCTTCACGTTGGTTCATGTTCCTGCCGTCGAGCGCCATGCTGTTGGATGCTTTGGACTGTGGATATGGTGCGACACATCGTACCCGCTTTCGTGGTTGACAAGGCGCTACGGACCCACCATTGTCGCCCTCACCCAAGGGGGCACCCGTTCTGGTCATCTTTTCACGCTGTGAATTCGATTTCTTCCCTTTGGCTAAACCTCACTTCCATTTCTCTTTGTAGGCCTTCACGTGAATCATGCTGCTGCTTCCTCCACTCTCCCAGTCGTAGCCCATCCAGCACAATATGTGGCCAAGGCCAGGACCTTTCTAGCGCAATGCGACCACGCCGCTGCCGCGGACGCCTACTTGGAGGCTGCTGCCGCTGTCACAACAACGAGCCAATCACTGCATTACCGCCTGGATGCCGCGCGATGTCTGGCTAGCAGTGTCGACAAGCACAAGTCCATGGGTCGAGTGGAAAGGCTCTTCCGGATGGCCAGCGAGGTATGTACTTATGTACGTTATCAAAATAGTCATCTACTGGCGACAGCACTTGCATGCGTTTGAAAATGACTATGAATGACTTTTCAACCTGATAACGTTACTAGTATAAGACATCGAATACTAATTTATATGATCCGTATTATTCAAGTAGTATATATATATACTGCGTGAAATGCACAATATATATACATATATATTTGGACTTGTGGGCCATGTCGCCAAATAGCCTTCGAATCAATTTAACCTTGTATATACTATACAATACAACGAGTAGTATATATATATCGGGTTGTTTTGCCCAATGGGGCCAAATCAAACGTTTGGATTGGCAGAAATTCGACAGGGCAGCGTATTTGATTGGCTTAGGCGGTTCTTTAATCCATTCTCTTTCACACATTCGACATAGAAAATGACATTATTGCCTTCAAATATAGGAATTCGCCTCGAATGGGTACTTTGACGAGGCAGGGCAGTGCCTGTTGGAACTGGCCGACGCTTTCAACCACCAACGACCGACTGACGATCATATGGCCGACGGGTGGCTAAGCCGGCAGTCGGCGCTGTACATCGAAGCAATGGCAGTGTTCGATGCCGGGGACGTCGGCGCGGCGGCGGCGGCGGCAGGCATGGCGGCCGCCGCAGTGTATGCCACGCAAGCCATGAAGATGCCACGAGATGCAGAAACGAGGACCCGCTGGCTGGCGACGGCGTCCGCCCAGTACCATGCCGTGGGGGTGCGCTACCACCCGAGTAAGCTGTCCAAGCAGGCGTCCATGTTGAGCATCTGCTGCTTTGTCGACGACATGGAGCGGGCAAGGCGGGCGTTCTGCAGCTACGCGGAATCTGCGACATCGTTCGACGCACCCGATTGGCTGCTCCACGGACTCTTCGAAGCATATGAACAGTGGAACCCACTCGTGTTGGATGCCGCCGTCGCCGCGTACGATGCATCGGACTTTGCTCCCATGGTGGTGTGGCAGGTATACTATATATATATATATATATACGGATAGCATAAAAAGTATTAGCTCATGAACGGAATAAAGTGTATATATGTTGCTTTTGGTGCTGAATGATGTGTTTTGTGTAGAAGCAAGCGTTGGGGCAGTGGAAGGCCAAGTTGGTGGCTGGAGATCTCACTTAACATGCACAAAAACTATACTAACGTTACATACTATTAATAATAGTACACAAATATTATTAGTATTACTACTACACTTTTTTTCTATTGAGTTGGGACTTTTTTCAACGTTGTTGGCTTGGCGCTCATTCGAAAGGGCGGTGTGTCCATTCATTTGGCCTTGTGGCCAATAGAATTGACACGTCGTGCCGCAATACCCTTTGAAATGTACCATGCTACCAATGGAAAAGGCTCCACTACCCAACAATGTGCCAAGTACCATTTCGAATCTGCCGTGCTTGAAGTTGAGTTGGAACGAATATAATATTATATTATCACATACGCGACGGCATGAAACAAGCAGATAAAATCATCGAAACTTGCAGCAAACAGCTACATGTCGACGTCCATGTCTTCCATTCGGTCCGCACGACCGTAGAAGTACTCCAGACGAGGGGATGCGCTTGTATTTCTTGCGTGGCTATGAACATGGCTAGTGTATCGTGAGCGACGACGTCGTACTGGTGTCTGTGGTGCAGCGTTCTCCATTGTTGCACGGAATGCGATTTTGAAAAGTGAAAAAAATGGGCGCGAAGATCGCCCAACTGCAACCTTCTAGAATATTCGATCCAACTCCACTTCAAGCACGGCAGATTCGAAATGGTACTTGGCACATTGTTGGGTAGTGGAGCCATTTCCATTGGTAGCATGGTACATTTCAAAGGGTGTTGCGGCACTAAGTGTCAATTCTATTGGCCACAAGGCCAAATGAATGGACACATCGCCCTTTCGAATGAGCGCCAAGCCAACAACGTTGAAAAAAGTCCCAACTCAATAGAAAAAAGGTGTAGTACTTCGAAGTACATATTATAACGTTATTAATATTAATAGTAGGTTTTGTGTCGGATAATACGTGTGATATGCCATAATCCGGATAAAAACCCGGAGGGAGTGTATCCGGAAGGGCGCAACACGTTGGATTACACCGTTCCATGAATGTGGCATTGGTCCGTGCCGTATGCCGGCCCGTCCGCGTCAACCCGACCGAGAGCCTCGGCGTCTGCGGTGGACACTGGCATGAGATCGACGGTGCGGAGAAGGCCACGTGCCTCGCGTTCAACCCATGGGGCACGCTGCTCAGTGTCGGCGAGAAGGAGGGGTTGGTGATCCTGTGGGATTTTTCGTCGATCCCCAACATCATCCGCGAACTCGGTCCGAAGACGGTGTCGTCGTCCATTCCCGATATCAAGCAAGCGACATCGTGTGCATGGTCACCGGACGGACGCATCCTTGCCGTCGCGTGCGAGCTCAAAGCCGCGTCGGGATCAGCTCGGAAAGGCACGTTGTTGCTGTGGGAAGTGGCGACGTCGACGCTCATCGCGGCCGTGGCATGCGATTCCGTGGCGACCCACGTCGTATTCCCTCCGCTGTCCATCCAGTCCCCTCTTTGGACTTTTTTCAACGTTGTTGGCTTGGCGCTCATTCGAAAGGGCGGTGTGTCCATTCATTTGGCCTTGTGGCCAATAGAATTGACACGTCGTGCCGCAATACCCTTTGAAATGTACCATGCTACCAATGGAAAAAGCTCCACTACCCAACAATGTGCCAAGTACCATTTCGAATCTGCCGTGCTTGAAGTTGAGTTGGAACGAATATAATATTATATTATCACATACGCGACGGCATGAAAAAAGCAGATAAAATCATCGAAACTTGCAGCAAACAGCTACATGTCGACGTCCATGTCTTCCATTCGGTCCGCACGACCGTAGAAGTACTCCAGACGAGGGGATGCGCTTGTATTTCTTGCGTGGCTATGAACATGGCTAGTGTATCGTGAGCGACGACGTCGTACTGGTGTCTGTGGTGCAGCGTTCTCCATTGTTGCACGGAATGCGATTTTGAAAAGTGAAAAAAATGGGCGCGAAGATCGCCCAACTGCAACCTTCTAGAATATTCGATCCAACTCCACTTCAAGCACGGCAGATTCGAAATGGTACTTGGCACATTGTTGGGTAGTGGAGCCATTTCCATTGGTAGTATGGTACATTTCAAAGGGTGTTGCGGCACTAAGTGTCAATTCTATTGGCCACAAGGCCAAATGAATGGACACATCGCCCTTTCGAATGAGCGCCAAGCCAACAACGTTGAAAAAAGTCCCAACTCAATAGAAAAAAGGTGTAGTACTTCGAAGTACATATTATAACGTTATTAATATTAATAGTAGGTTTTGTGTCGGATAATACGTGTGATATGCCATAATCCGGATAAAAACCCGGAGGGAGTGTATCCGGAAGGGCGCAACACGTTGGATTACACCGTTCCATGAATGTGGCATTGGTCCGTGCCGTATGCCGGCCCGTCCGCGTCAACCCGACCGAGAGCCTCGGCGTCTGCGGTGGACACTGGCATGAGATCGACGGTGCGGAGAAGGCCACGTGCCTCGCGTTCAACCCATGGGGCACGCTGCTCAGTGTCGGCGAGAAGGAGGGGTTGGTGATCCTGTGGGATTTTTCGTCGATCCCCAACATCATCCGCGAACTCGGTCCGAAGACGGTGTCGTCGTCCATTCCCGATATCAAGCAAGCGACATCGTGTGCATGGTCACCGGACGGACGCATCCTTGCCGTCGCGTGCGAGCTCAAAGCCGCGTCGGGATCAGCTCGGAAAGGCACGTTGTTGCTGTGGGAAGTGGCGACGTCGACGCTCATCGCGGCCGTGGCATGCGATTCCGTGGCGACCCACGTCGTATTCCCTCCGCTGTCCATCCAGTCCCCTCCTTCCTCGGGTGATGAATCCCAAGAAACAATGTCATCCGTGTTGTTGTCCTGTGCGAGCGGAGACCTCCAGACGATCTCGTGGCGCACGGCGGCTCGGACAACCGACGACTCCCCATCGACGTTGCATTACATCGACCCGTCCAAGGCACCGTCCCTGCACTTCCACACGTGTACCATCGACACGGTGTCTATCTTCGCGGCCGTGGGGTCTGGCGAGTCGCCGGCCGCCGCCCCGTCCACGGCCGCTTCCGCGCGCAACACAGCGCCGGTCGTGATGGCCAAGTTTGGCGCCGACGTCATCTTCGTCGCGTCTATGAAAGGTGGCATTGCGATGCTCAACCCCCACACATACGCGGTCATCGGCGGCCTCTCGTCCGTCGTCCTTTCCAGCGCGGACCTGTACGTGGACGCCACGAGTCTCTTGGTGCCGTCCACCAAGGGCGTGCATGAAGTGCACCTTCTTCCGCATGCGCCGTGGATGGAGGAAGGCCGCGTGTACACGGCCGGCGCCGCGGTGCGCGCGCCATGGATCATGGCCAGCAAGAGCCCCGACTTGCAGTTTGTGCTCGGGATTCCGCAACCCCGGGGACTCTTTGTCGGGGAAAAAGGTATGTTTATGTGGCCGTGTCGTCGGCCGTCCAGTGAAGAAGGAGATCAAGAAGAAGACTGCAGCAACAATAACGCGCATGACATGTATCATGACCACCGCTTTGCTGGAGAGATGGTGGCCGTGGCGTGGCACCCCACGCGCGAGAGCCTCACGGTCGTGTCGTCCGCTGGCTCGGTGCATGTGTTGGAAGTGCAATATGAATCGCCGTGGCCGGTACAAGACAAACATATGTTTTGAGAAAAAATATTTTTTTCGTAGAAATATTTTTTGTGGAAATATTTTTTTTTACATTTGAGTTTTGCTTTTTTGTTTCAACCCACACACACCATCGTCGTGACCGGTACGATTTTTATATTTTATATTTTTTTGGTGGGCATTTCCTTTGATACTATTTTTTTTTCGTCGTCGTCACACCTAGCATGGTTTGTTGGAGGTGGAAAATGAAACTTTGAAGTATGGTCGATTTGATACAAATGTGGGGAGGGGGTGCAATCGAATCGACGAAACCGATCCACAATCGATCTGATTGGTTGAATTTCATTGAGAAGGTTTTGATTGGCTAATAATTTTGAGGTAGCCAATCAAATCGATTTAAATTCCAACGAAATTTCACTCGAAAGCACAATATTATTTTGCGTATTTTTAATTTTTTGTTATTCGGGGAGTATGTTTTCGTCTTGACGTTGTTTTCTTCGTGGGCATTGTGGGTAGTGTATATATCTATATATCTATATAGATATATAACCATGCGTGGAAAGGAATTACGGATATTATTTTTTGTGGGTTTGATATATTTGTTTCTGTAGGGTGCTATGTACCCGCCGGGGTTTGTCCTGATCAACGACAACGTCGTGTACGAAGAACCAGAGGATGAGTTTGACCTTGTCGAGCCGCGCCCCGCCGCCCGCCAAGACGATCCGGCCGTGGCGGTGGACGTGATCTCGATCGATGATGATCAACATGGTGATGGAAGGATGACGTGGCTCAAGTACCTGCCGGCGTCTCCGCTCACGACGTGGAACCACGAAGCGCCGGCATTTGAAGATGACGACGTGTCGAGTATCTTTAGCTGCATGAAGGCCCGCCCGCCGTCCGTCTCGGCATCGGCGGCGGCACCCGCGGCCCCTTCCAAATCCAAAAAACGAAAATCTGGCGGCAGATAACACACATATAGAATCCTACTACAGTACTACTGGTATAAAGTTGTTTGGATTGCAAGGGGTGGTCGTGTACTCACAACCTGCTGGCTATCGAAATCAAAACGTATTCCATCAGTAGTACAGTACCTACCTATGTCGTACAAGAAGAATTGTTTAGTAATTTTACTATATATATTTCTCAATTTACAAGAGATATATATTATTTGTTAATTGCGGGTATTTCATTAGGGATAGTGGTGACTTTTCTATAAGAATAAAGATTTTTAGTGACGTTTCTATAATAATAATGATTTTGGAGGTACAAGGTCATGCCTGGCGTGTCTTCGTATTGTCATTCTTTTACCCAAAATGTGGACTACTTTTGTGCGGATTCTTTGCCAAATCGGTTAGATCGATTCTTTGACTTTTGTAGGTCGTCCAGTATCACACTAATTGAAGTCACACCCGATGTTGAAGTGGTCGAAAGTGGAAAATTTGATATTGGCCACTTGATTCGTGTTGTGGTTTTTGATTGGTCGATCATCGATTGTCTGCCGACTTGGTGCTCCAATTTCTAATCGACTTACAAACAATATGAGCCTCGACACAGAAATAAATACTAACTTCACTGGAAGTTCATGCTATACTGTATTACTAGTAATAGCATGATTGTGTTGCACAGTAAGGAAGGTCACGCATATATGGCTTCATAGTATCAACGTTCATATATGGCGGTAGGAATACTCAAACGTCCACGAGTTGTCGGTCCCGTGCAGGCAGCTTGAGCTTGACCCTGGAGCGAGAGTTCATGGTCGGCAGGGTCTTGGGGGTGGACGGCGAGTTGGTGAGAAGCGGCGGCGGCTCCACCTTGGACGACCTGCGGGTGTGGAACGTCTGGGACGGCACGAGCAGCCCCAGGGCTCGGTCCATCCGTCGCATGGCCTTGTGGATGGAGCCGGCGCCGTCGGCGTCGTTGAGCTCGAGCTGGAGCCCCGACTCGTCCAGCATGATGTCGCGCTCCGAGGCGATGATGCGGCGGTGGAGAAAGACGTTCCGCGCAGACGTCTGCCGGCGCGTGGGGGCGGTCGAGTGGTCGTCCAGCAAGTCGGCGTGCGCCGTGTGCTGGCACACGAGCGAGTCGCTCATGTGCCCGGGAAGGCCACACCGCGGGCACGGGATTGGTCCTTTGCGCTGCATGCCTGGCGTCAACCTAGAGGATATATATATATGAGGGGGGTTCGGATTTATACCTTGTCACACATCCACACACACACTATATATATATATATATATATGTACATATATCTTTTCCTTCGAAGTACACACATCCACACACACACTATATATATATATATATCTTTTACTTCGAAGTAATAGTAGTTTTTAACAAAACTGTAAAAACGGATAAGAGGATCGTCTAGGTAGGGTCAATCAAAGCAACTATACAATTAAATAGTACTACTATTATTAGTACTAACGCTACATGTAGTATTATTGTCAAGGCGATGAGTGAAAAAGAAAATTTATTAAATGTTATAACAAATATAAATAATAATAATAAAGATATAATAATTGCTTTAAATAATATTAATTATTTTTTACTTTATTATTACATGAAAATGGTTCTAATAATCCTTTGGGTGGTGCGCTATCAATCGAATGAGCAGAAGAACATCATATTGGCAGAAAAATCAAAGATCAACCAATGAATACCCAGAACAGTCCAAATTTCGGGTAAATGGACAATATGCGTATATAAATAAATATATATATATATATATACCTATAATCGATCCGTTTGTTGTAATGGTTCAAGGCTGTGAACCGTCTAAGCTGGTACCAGTTGCGCTGCCTCGTAAAGTACTCGACGAACACGGTGAGTATGGGCATGCCGGTCTTGACGACTGCAAACAAGGCGTACGTGGGCAAAATGTACACGGCGGCGTCCGCGGTGGCCACGCAATAGTTTAGAAACCCCGAGTGGTTCAGACACACCTCTGCCAGACCAGAGCAGTCGAACGCTTTGAGAATCTGCAGCTCCACGCGCCGCGTAACGACCTACAAGTCGACCAATGACAATTCAGACATGACACACATGTGTAGTAGTATGACGTGGCAGTCCCCCCTCGAGCCATTATTAGGTAGTGGTAGGAGGTGGGATGGACCTCGCTTTCGCCGTCGGTGGTCACGACCACGTCCTCGACAGTGTACACTCGGAGCTCGCCGGCAAGGACAAAGTAAATCGACGGCGGCTGGCCTGCCGTGTACAGGTATTCGTCCTTGGTCACTTGGAGCGGTGTCACATGCGATGCCAAAAACTCAATCGATGCCTGGGGCAGCGAGTGCAAGAGGAATGTTTGCGCGAGAAACGCAGCGGCGAGTCGGCTCGACGACATGGCGGGTGCGGCGTCCATCGGTGATGGCGATCGAAAGCTCGTGGATATCGACGTCTTGTCCTGGGGGTAGGTCGGAAGGACCAAGAGATGCGTGGGGTGCAGCGTCGACACGCCGATGCGGTTGCGCTCGACACAGCCGTCCGCGCGCAGCGAAATGTAATGGAATGGGAATTGAAAGTAGATGGATTCAAGGCCAAAGAGGTCGCCAGGGTGCAGCGTGCGCCACGTAAGGTCGTCAACGTCGTGTGACGTGGCGGGTTTCTGTCGAAGGGATGATGTGTTTGAACTCGTGCAAGTGGTGAGATTGAACCGATGGCGTCGAATCATCTCTGTGCACTGCCCTGTCATGACAATGAACACGGAGCCAGTGGGCGTCTCGTCTTGCCGGACGACAAAGTCGGCGGCGCCGCGCGACACGACCGTCACAGAATAGAGCAGGTTGCGAAAGAACTGCGGGTTCCCGTGGCTCAGCGCCATCAGAGTCAGGTACGCGGCGTTATATGTCTGCAGCAGCCAGTCCTGAAGGTCTTCGTTCTCGGCCACACTGCGCGTGCGCGACATGAGGAGCCGGAAAAAGTGATGCTGGGTCGCGGCGGCCGCCGAGCGCCTATCGTCGTCGTCGTCGTTGTCGTCGCTGCCAAGAAAGAGTCCGTGTGTCTCGAGGGGATTGGCATGCCGCATCATCCCATCACCTTGAGATGCAGACGTATGGGTGAACAGCGCATGCCCCGACGGATGCTGCGGAGATTGACTGTGCTGATGATGGGACAGATGCTTTTTGGACTTGGGACTGAGCGAGCGCTGCGACGTGAGGTGTGGCGGGGTCGGCGTCGCCAAGAGTGCATGCGTGGCCAGATTCAGCGACGCCGACGGACCGATGACTCTCGCGCGGCCACTCCGCCGCATGAGGAACCAAGTGCCCTCGCTAAAAATGTGCTACAGCTGGATGCACGAAACTGTCCAAGTGAAAAATATGTACTATAATAGTATTACTACGTAGTATTAATCTATGAAATACTATTAATAGTACATGACATACGGTATGGTAGTTACTTCGAAGTAAGATATACAACTTTACAGTATTATTAATAATACTAACGTTTCCTGTAAAGAGTCAACACGTTTACTAGTATTACTTCGAAGTACTATGTAGTCACTGTGTGCTTGGCTTTTGAATCCAATTAGTGTAGGACGAGAATAGGCTTCAAATAGTGTAGAATTTTCTTGGGATCAAATCACAACATTTGCACAGAGTGCAATGCGTGGCCAAGTTGCTGCCACGGCGCGACGTGCCGCGGGCCGAGGGCGGCTGGCGGGTGGTCGGCGCCGCGGACGAGGAACGTCTTGGTGTTGCGCCAATACTTCTTGATGTCGTCTGCGTCATACCCCAGCATGAGACCCCATCACTCTCTCGTCATGGAAGGCGACTTGCGTACCGTGGAGAACCGCGTGGTGGGCGACAAGGCCCATCATGAGCTTCACTAGGTGGCCACACGCGTGCGCGTTGAGTTCCACAGACGCCGCGAGTGCGTTGATCAGGTCCAAGAGGATTTCGCTGTGGAGATTTACGATATGGTCGTCGTGGGTCTGCAAGAGGTCGTGCACGTGCGCTAGGATTTCCTACTCGGTCGCTATAAGTCTATAAGTCTACTCTTGTCGCTGTGTGTACTAATAATAGTACCTGGACGACTGATGCGAGCATGTCAGAGAGGGAAAGTGGGAGGTTGGCGCATCCTCCAAATATGACATCGTTCGCAGGAACTAGAGAAGCATGTTATGTCGAGATATATAGACTCGAACGAGGCCACACACACAACGAGACGATGATCGTACAAACTAATATATATATATTTGTATACTACACGGATGGGACAATATGAAGTATGCTCACTCATATAAAGCAAATTAATAATAATATTCTTGAATTTGATGTGTTTTGAAGTGCAACGGTAGGTCAAACGAGATAGGATTTCGGAACGGAGTAGTATATATATATATTCATAACAGTAGGCGAACTATCCCACCCATGTCGAAATATCTATCGAGATTTGAAACACTTGATATATAAAACGATAAACAAATATCCCGATTTCGAGTCATCATATATATATATATAGTATCGAAGCGACGTATTGTCGTTCTCCGTGCAACGTCAAGTCCACATAAGACCACATAAGTCCAATAAAACCAGGTCAATTTAAATTCGAGTCAAACTCGGCCTACTTTGCACTCTTTGTATCAATCCAAGAACCAATACATATATAGATATATCACGTACGTACCGTAACCTATCGCATACGGCAGATCCTGATCGGGCACCCACGCAGCGAGGAAGGTCACAACGTGCACCAGCATGCGCGCGCGGTTACCCAGCGCCGACTGCCACGGGAACTTTGAAATGGCGCTGCGAAATCCATGGACAAAGTAGAGCGGGTCGGACGGAGAGGGGACCACCACGAGCAGCGAGAGGAGGTCAGTCATGGCGTGCATCGCGTCTTGCTCGTACGCGGCGGGGGACTCCGAGTCGGAGGATGGCAACTCGGCCATGAGCACAATCGAAGCTTTCACAAACTCATCCATTTGGGGTAGACACTGACTCGCCAACGCAATCTACAATATATATATGGAGGCATGCGATCTTCATACTTAAACAAAGATTGAATAGTGATCGAATGTTGATTTTCCTACATGTACGTATATAATATATATATATATATATATATATATATATATATATATATATATCAGTCCAACGCACCAAGAAATACCCAGTCTACATCACACTCGAACCCTCCATCCTGATTGAAAAGTAAATAACAAATTTCATGCTATACATATATATTATATATATATACCAACCCAACCAATATCCAATGCACAATAATAAATATTGTATCATCGACTCGATACACTTTTGTATATATATGTCCTCATGGATATATATATATATATATAACCAGGTAGGTTACCTTGGCGCACAACGTCATGAGTTTGAGCTTTTCAATGGCGTCGACTAGGGACGGGATCGTGATATGGCAGTACGCCAAACATCCTTTTACAAACGACCGCCGCGTCTATCCATATACAAACATATATATATATCATGTTATTCCCATTTGAAAAAAATTAGTATATTAAAATATATATAAGCTCCACCTAAAATCATACTTGTACCAGCTAATGTAGCTATATATATTGTGTGTTCTACTCTCTGGCGATTGGTTGAATCAACCGCCGAACATTCGCCGGACCTTCGAAATTTCATATAAAACTAAGTTGAAGAGGTATCTTTGAGACTGCAATGCATGAATCAATATTTTAGCCGATCATATTCCAACCTTTATTCTTTGCAGCCAATCATACTCGTTTGCTCGATGAATTGGCGATTTCATCAATCCCCCAAAACAGGCAAATTTGACTGAAAAGCACAATATATATATATATATATAAACACACTCCCCACACAACCATCCAATATCTTTCAATCGACACACACATATATATATCGATACGAGTCCACCAGCCAGCCCAATGTCGTCTGTCTAAATCTAGGTAGCTACACCCCCATGACTCTGTACCATCCTACACTAGACGTACGTACGTACGTGGCAGTTGACGAGCACACTGAGCCACAGCACGCGACGTACAAGACACGCCAGCACCGCGTCCAGCTTGTAAAACAGCCGGCGGCACTCGACGTACATTTGGAGGAGCGCGTCGGCGTCGCTCTTGTGCATGTCCAAGCTGGTCACGAACGTACAGATGGCCTGGGACGCGTCGGCCACGTCGAGGGGACTGCTGAGGCAGTCGAGGGCGTCGTGGACGCGGGTGCACATGGTCACCAGAGTGTGCACGATGGTCGCATGGGGTCCGTCCACGGCCAGCCGCAGACCCGAGTCATTGCCCCTCACGAACGCGTTCAAGAGTCGCTTGCTCAGTGTGATGTTGGTCGAGTGTTGAAACATGCCCAGTAACGTCTACTCAAATATATATATATATACGTGCAATAGGTAGATATATAGATACGAGTGCGACCGGGAACACAAAGTGTTATACCATTTGTCCCCAAATGGGATCGAAAACGAGAAAACAACACGATCCAACAATATATATATATATATATATATATATATATATATGGGAGGGGGGGTGATGAAATATTGAAACGATCCAAGTTGGTGGAAACACCAAGAAACATACTAGTCGAGCATCTAGTTGGTTAATCGACGTGGCATGAATATCCTAGGTATATATTATATATATATATAATTTATATATATTTATATATATATATGAAATACAATGGCACGAACGTCTGGTAGATCCAACAAGGTGAGTGTTGGACATGAAAACAACACACAGCTACTCATGCTCCAAGAACGCCGTTATATATATACGACAACATGAAATTACCTATATATATATATATAGGCATGAAATTCTATAAAGCACAACATTATATATTTATAATATATATTATATATATATATGTACAGGCATGCAAATATACAACCATCCCAACGAACAAACGCGTGTCTGCAATCCAGTCACATAACTAACAATAACACCTCGAGTAATAACGATTCGTATAAAACTCGACCAATATATCCATATACAAGTCGTAAAAAATTTACTATAAAACTCGACCAATCGACCAATCCATATACAAGTCGTAATAAATTTACTATAAAACTCGACCAATCGACCAATCCATATACAAGTCGTAATAAATTTACTATAAAACTCGACCAATCGACCAATCCATATACAAGTCG